ATTATTTCAATTCTATATCAGACAATAATGACATCAAATATTTATACAAAAAAAAAAAAAAGAAAGTTTACTTAAAAATCTAGCTAATAGATTTTTGTAATTGAAAATTTGATTAGATTTATTCGGGGGAAAAAAAGCAAAAAAATTCTATTAATAAGACAAGATTATTCTATCCATAGTAATAATATTTACTATCATGCAAATAAAACCGGAAGAGCCATCTTAATAAAGACGTGAACAATTAAGCTTAGTAGGTATATTTATCAAAAATTCGATTTTCTACATTGGTTTTCCTGTCATGAAAACAGTAAACATTATAAATCAAATATTTCCTTTATTATAATAATAAATAAAAATTATTTTAGATGAAAAGAAAGAAAAAATATATCTCGATAAATATATATAAATATGAATATTTACTTACAGAAACACCAAGAAAATGTAATTGTTCTAATAGAGTTAACCAATTATCTCTTATATGCACTGAATTATAGGTAAATTCATCGACCGATATACTATTATAGTAGAAAAAAAAAAGATGAATAATTCAATGAATAATTTGTACTCATAATCAGGTTACTTATGATCTATAGATGCTCGTATTAAAAGCGCAATTACCCATACAGCGTCATAAGCATGCAATGTTTGTCTATCGAGATGATCTTTTAAGTGAAGTTCTTGTTGTAATTGATTTGCTGTCTAGAATAAAAAGAAAGAAAAAAAGATTTCTAGGTTTTTTAGTTTTCTTTATTATTAAGTTTACCATATTTGGATTAATTAAACTTTGTTTTCTTTTATATGAACTATCAATAATAATATGACCACGAGCTGCATGAAGAATTTCTTGTTTTGTACAATTATTTCTTGAAAAATTCCATAAATCATAATCATTTTCAGTTAATATCCATACATAACGTTCACGTAATTCTTTACTAAATGTTCGATATACTTCACAAAAAAATATAGCACGTGATGATGTATCAAAATTAACAAAGACAATTCGAGCTTTCTTTTCCTGGAAAAACAAAAATTTTTTTTTTTCTTTTTGATAAAATTATTATAATGAAATTTTAAAGATCAATACTTGAAGATTTTTTAATGCTGATGTAAGATTAAGCCATGATGCACTTTGAGTAAGTATAACATTTATATTTGATTCATTTAAATGTTTAGCTAATTTTGCCATCATCTTAAGATAAAGATTAAATTTTTAAAAAGTTTGAATTTTTTTATTTTTATTAGAAAAGTTTTATTTACAAGAGAATGTTCAATTGAATCTTGATGAATAATAGCTACATGTGACCAATTATTATATTTAATAAAAGCTACACGTGCATCATTATAATTTTCATCTAATACAGAAAGTCGAACTAATGTTGAATATGATTCATTAGCTTGAGAAATAAATGAAGTTGAATGGGAAAACTAGAATATTCATTTCCACAATTACATATATATATAACGGATGTTTAATATTAAATAAAGCAAAAAGAAAAAGCTATCTATATTTATTGATTTGACTTACTAAAATTAAATTATAATAATCAGCAACTTGAATAACAGCTTTTGTTTCATTTGAACATGATGTACCAACAAGAAAATGTAATTGTGGACGACGAAATATTGCATGAAAGAAAGCATCAACAGCATAAATTGGATCACACTAAATATAATAAATGTAAGTATATAAAAATATTCTTCTTTTTTGTTTTTTTTTTGGTTTATATACTCGAGAATTATTTGATAATAATGTCAGTGTATAAAGTCCCTTAAATAAATCTTTTTGACGATGATTTATATCATTAATAGCTATTGTAGCTGCTTGTAATTCATGTCGACCATTGTCTTTTGATAAATGATCAAAATCGAACAAAGCACCAATATGTAATTCAGTTGGTTCATGTGTTCGATTGCCTTTACTCAAAATAATTATAATAAGAAATATCCAATACTGAGAATACATGCGAAAGCATTACGCGATTAACAATATGAAAGTAGAATACATCTATAAAATAAGATAACTATATACATAAATGTGCTTATATTGAATAAATATATATATATAGATAGATAGAAAATGAGAAAAGTTGTTTTATTGGTAAAGACACATACACATTTACAATCTCATTTTCTTACTAACAGAAACAACTCAGCTGTAGGCTCACTTCTTCTAGTATGCATTCCAATCAACTGGTAAACGTATAGGAAAAGAGAGAGAGGATGTGTGCTCGTGCATGAATGACATTTTCTCTCTTGAATCAAGATTTTTTTTTTTTCATTGTGATCTTAACTATTGAAGAAAAAAATGAAGAATGATGTTTATAATGATTTGAGAACTTATATCTATACAAAGCGATAATAAATTAAAGAGTCGACTACTAAATGACAGCAATTAATTAAGTATATAAAGAATAATCAGTACTGGAACGAAGAAGAAATGACGATAAGGAATAAAAAAAAAAATGTCAAAATTTTCTCATTTCCTTCTTTTTTCAAAGCAATACAAGTAATAAAGGCAATTAAGAAGACGAGAATTTGTTTTCAACCTCATGTCATATTGAATTAGAATTTTTTCATACGACATACGTATGAACAACAAACGATGTAAGCATGACCAAATAACAACGACCTTTATTTCATTTTCTTATTATCTATTTAAGCGGTTCTTCTTATTGATAAACGGAAAAAAAAAAATCTAGATCCGACAAAGACATGATCATCAATACTATTCTAGTTTTTTAGCAAATTTATTCCTTCGTATAACATGAATCGTTCTTCTTATCAAAAGAAATTTTTGAATAATGAAAAAAAACAAATTTATGCGATTTTCTTGTTTGCGTGTATTGTTCTTTTCTTTTTTGATCGTCATTAAAATTCAATAAATTCACTTCGTCTTCTATATTTGATGGAGAAATAAATGAGTTTGACTTGTTTTTTTCTTTTATCCCTATATGCTTACCAAGGTGATGGCAACAAAGAAAAAAAAAAGAAAAGACTGAATATCATTTGTAATTTATTTTGTTAACAAGACATACACATACATACATACATATAAAGGAAGCCAGATGTATTTTCTTGTATTATTTGAACCAACCGGTGAACGTATTATTTATCAAAATGAAAAACCTTCTGAAACTGTAACTGTGAAAGATCTTTTAGAATGGATTACTGATCGATTTCATTTTGAAACTGGTACTGGTGAAATTGGCAATCGACGTTTATCATTATTATATGATAATACAGAATTACAATTACATTGGTTTCTTAGAGATATAAACATACGTTTTGGAGCGACAGTAAAATGCGCAGTCATTGAAGGTTAGTTTTTTTTTTCACACTTGTTTGCATTTGTTAATTTGAATCATTTGTCGTTTTTTTTAAACAAAAAGGATAGCGTGTAATTAAATCCATATACTATAAACGAGCCGATATTTTTTTTTAGGCACGAACCGTTGTTATAATTAGATAGGTGTTCATTGTGGTTATAGAATTCTTATATCTGAAGCAAAAATACGTTTTATTAGATTGGTTGAATGAACATTTGAAATTGCTTAGTAAAGGATGAGGTCGTATAAGAGTAGAAATGAACTCACGTGTGACATGGTTAATATTTGTGTATTTTTCAATGTACAATTTTTGTATCGATCTGATGATATCTAGAATAAAAAACGATTCGAAATACGATCATTAGTTTCTCATTGTTGACATGTCTGTCGAAATCGTGAAGTATCTTGCTAATTAATTTCGATGACGATGATGCTTTCATTATGAATTGATAGCTCATCGGAGAGAACATTCGATTCTCCAGTGATTCCTATAAAAATGAGTTTATTGAAAAAAAATTATCAGTGCTTCTTATTTGTCATTTCATTGATGGTCAATGATATGCTACCTGAAAGTTTAGTTCTGTTGATTGATTTGTCGCAAGATATAGATCGACAGGCTACAAAATCGTATATTTACGAAACTCAAAAGATGTTGATCACTTGATAGATTCCATGGACACTATTTTGGAGACATCATTGAGTATTGTTTAATAGACTTGAGTCAGAAAAACTAAGAATTATGTCAAAATTAATGTCATGTTCAGAGCAAACATCAAAAATTGAGTCGATTGATACATCTTTCAAATATTTTCGCAAAGCTTTTTTTGCATCGAAGACTTTATGAGTGTGAGTGTAACAAATAAAAGACACATAACTTTATCCAATGCACTCGGGATCGTTTTGGAATCGATGCAGAATTGAATGTTCTATACGATGAGACGAATTTGAAATGACAGCATCACTTTTGTCAACAGTATTGAGTAAGATAACTTATAATGCCGATGGCCATATCGATAATGAGAAACTAATAACAGTATTTCGGATCTTTATTACT